ACCATGTTTCTCGATGGTCTCGATGAGTCTCCAAACAATCACAGGTGCTGCTTCAGAAAGAAGTTCTGCCTCCACACCTGAGACAGAGATATAAAAGCCTTTATCATTGTTCTTGCCTTGAAACAATCAGACATCAACATAAGGGTAATTTTAGTTCTAATTTTGATTTCATTTGCATAGTGATTATAATTTGGAAAATAATTTACTACTGCCAAAAAACTGAAAAAAGAGAAAAACATTGTTATAAGACTACAACCAACATTTCTGAAGACTTGTTGAGCCCGACAACAAGAGGCATGGTTTTTCTTTTCAATTTCTGCAATCCACCCATCTAGACTGATGGATCCAAGTGCGTATGTGTGCTTTCATGTGTGTGCCCTCCAGGGAATGTGTACACACACACATAACAGAGAAACAAACACAGACAGCAGCATAAAGGCCTTGTAAATGTCAGTGATGAGTTCGTACTTGGGTCAAAACTTCACATGCCACCGTGTGACACATACACACACACAGAAAAATAGCAGCTTCTTTAGGCACATAAATACATACATGTTAAGTTGTAGTCTTTTAGTGCTAGCATACAAAACACTAAAGAAAACTAAACACGACACATGAATATATCAATGTGCAACAACAGCATAAATAGCTACAGCAGAGCGTATGCATGCACTGTACAGACAACCTCTGAACATTTTTAAAAGGTTGGTTTATCATGCTGCACATATGCATGAAAAAGATGACTAACATTACTGATGAAAGAGCAAGAAAACATGGTATCGTCTATAAACAGGGCTTCTTACTGAGATCTTGGTGAAGTAGAACTAAAACACTAAAGACGTGTTGGTACTCTAAAGCAGAGTATGAACAAATTAGCTTTAAGGAGCTGCTCTTATACTATCCATTATTATGCAGCCAATAAATCTTTCAACTAACTGAACATTCTTTTAAAATTATTGGCAACATTTGGGGCATCCAGGGATGTGCTGGTAGAGCAGTCCACCTACAAATCGGATGATTAATGCATATATTCTTCTGTGCCTGTGTCAGAGTATTTTTGTGCAAGATACTGAACCTCAAGTGTTCCCTAGTGCATCCACTGTGAGTGTTGGGAACACAAGTCCATTTTTTTTTCAAACACTTATTCCCACAGAGATCACCTAACTTGAAAATAAAACTATAGTTAATAATAGCAGCTTGCATGAATTCTTTTGGGAGTATGCTGTAGTATACTGTACATGGGTACAATACATTAAAAAAAAATCTTAATGGCTCCAAGCTCCCTTTGTATTGTTTTTATTCACCAGTTTGGTGAGTTTTTATTGGTGATTCACCAGATCTTTGTTAATGACGCGGTTTCTACAAATATTTCACCTTGACAGCACAAGAAAGGAAGCTATGGTTTCCTCCATGCTGTGTATAGAAAAGATGGAGGGAGCTTCTGGGTGTGAAAAGTGCAGCCAATGTAGACTTTCCTTAAGCCTGCAGTCTTTCTAATGGCTAGTGGGGGGCTCCTCTAATGGTTTACAGAAGTCAACATGCATGGCTGAACAAACCTATTTCAGATGAGTTGTTGGTCTTAGTCACGAGTTTTGAGCCTTCCTGAGTACAACATAATGTTAGTTTTTAGGAAGCTACCAACTAATGGGTTTAGAAAGAAACCTTTTATTTATTAAGGGTAATAAAAGTGGAATTAGAACTTATAGCATACAGATATAGTCTGTTATTTCATTACTTGAAATTTAAATATAGGTCACTGAAGCATTCCAAATGACAGGATCATGCAGATTTTATAAAATGATGGTAACTTTGTGTTTTATTTTATTTTCTCTATATTTAATATTTTAATGTGTAGCTAATGAAGTCAGGGTCATCCCATGGCTCATCTCTACCACAACACTGCTAATATTCTGTTAATGTCTTTTCTCCTTTATTCCATCTTTACTTTGTTTTTTTTGTGCCCTCTCACTTTCTTTCTCAAGCTGCTCCTCAACTTGTCCCTATCACTCCCTCTATTTCATCCTCTTAATAAAGTTTTCCTTCACCTATCAATTCATGCCTAGTTGCTCTCTTCTGCCCACATACTCTTTCTCACCATATCGTTTTAGCTTAGCAGTTCCCACCCTCCTTTGTTGTGATGGTCACACTTGTGTCCTATCATAGCACACACACAGCCAAGTATTAGTCACGCTGAATTAAATGACACTTGTCTTTTAATGATGTCAAACACACTTGCACAAAAAAATCATATTTAAAAACTTAACACACACTTAGTCACCATATTTACACGTTTACAGACCTGCTATTTCCTGCACTGATTATGTTTATGTGAGCAGCCAGTTGAGTGTATTATTTCAGATGTGTATGCATGCGTGGCTGTCAGTGTGAGCAATGACAAAGAATGCTGAGGAATTTCCAGAGATATCGGTCGTTAAATGCACAGTACTTTCATTAATGTCACTGTCGAAATGTATTACAAAGACAATAGCTCAGCCAGAGGACAGGAGAGGAGAGGAGAGGACAATAGAAGAGAGGAGAGAAAAGACAAGTGATAACAGAGGTTAAAAAAAGAAGAGGAGATATGTAAAGAGCATGAGTAAAGAGAAAAATCAGAGCGAGATGGAAAAGAGGAGAAGAAGGGAGAAAGCAGGAGAAAGTAGAAGTAAGAAGAAGGTAAGAGGGGTCTCAATAGGAGAATGAGGGGAAAGTGAAAAAGAGCATTGAAAAAACTGAATTCAACATGGATAAAAAGAGCAAAAAACAAAAGAGGGTAACCCCAAGAAGAGGAGCATCAGGGATTAAATAACAAACATAAGGACAAAAGCAAAGAGGACAAAAAGAGAGAATATATAATAAAGACAAGAGGACAGATCAGGGTGGATATTACACGGCGGGGATAGTGAGAGATGAGAGGAAAAATCAGAAGAGGACAAACAAGAAAGGAAAAAGTGAAGAACTGAAAAGTAAATGGACAAATGAAAACACAAAAGAGTAGAAAAAAGAAGAAAGGAAGAAGAACAGAAGAAAATGATGAAAGAAAAGAACAAAGAAGAAGAGACTGGTGGATGAAAATAAAGACAAAAGGAGAAGAGACGAGAACAGTGAAGCTGACTCCATTCCTTCAGCTCTGCAGCAGATCACCCCACCCCACCCCCAGCCCCCATTAGAGAGAGGGTAGGGTGCTACAAACAAAGACATACACAAACCTCCAGACACACAGAGACACAGTTGAAAGTCAGATAAACAGATAGAGATGAACCCCAAGAGAAGATTAACGTGACTGTATGCACCAGTATAGTATGCACATAGTACAATGAGACAGAAAGACAGATGGAAGGACACACACACACACACACACACATTTAAACATTTTCCACTGTACTATACTGCATAAATCTGATACTATGGTACACACATACATATGTGGTCATACCCTCAGAGCTACCAACAGCTGCGGTCCCAATCAGCAGTGTCTGAAAATGATTTATTGATTGGTGAAGCTGGCATTATGAAGTAGGACCAGAATCACTATTTCGCGTTTCCATTCAAATTTAGTATGCCCCCTCCCACCACCACCACACACACACACACACACACACACACGTACAGATGGAAAATCTGATCAAGATAAGAGAGTGGAGTTATAGAGCAAGATGCTTATATATTAGAGAATCTGCTCTGTGCCTGTGGGAGCTTCTGATAACTCATATACCAGGATTGGCTCTCTTGATGTATAATAAATCATGTTTAGGTCAAACACTTGCACGATGAGTATGAAATTCACTCATATTTGATGTTCACACACCAATATGTTTACGTTTTCATCCTAAGTCCCTGTGCAACATCTCAGATCTTTGTCCCTCTCACATGGAGGTGCTGTGTTCAGTTCTGCAATAATATACAGTGACACCAGGGGGCAGCTGACTCCAGACCTGACTGGACAGTCCTGTTCCTTTAATCGGAGCTACAGCAGAGGGAAGCCACATTTGGTTTGGAAAAGCTGTTTTGTTTCATCTCAGGAAGACAAGTTTAATGTAAGTCTTCAGGTAAAACTCACATGAGATGAGGCAAACTATAATGTGCAATATGTGATCTACACAGCATGTGTACAGAAATAATGACACAGCATGTGGAAAATCCAGCAGAATGCAGGAGACCATAAAAAAGGAAACACGCTGTAAAGGATAACAGATAATGCAACAAAGAAATATTTATACTCACACAGCAATCCGTTTAATGAACACAGCTGGGAAAATGAGGCACAGGTGAATGCAATCAGGGAAAATGACAAATAGAAAGCAAAACTAAAGACAAGATGCAAGAAAGAAGCACTTATAGAGTGACAAATACCACAGACACATAGCATCTTGACATTAAGGAGTAGTGGGGAAGGCTATGGAATCACAAATTATGACAATAGCCGCTGATAATATTCAATGCATCTCCTCACATGTGCTGAATCTTAAATGGTACACAGGAAAGAGACTTGTCTTTAGCAATATTAACAGCTAAGCAAAGTGAAAAATTCATCCTCTGTCTCCTCCTGACCAATCCACCATGGCAGCATGTTAGTCAGAGGAAACCTCCCCCCACCCCGGGGACTCAGCTAAAAATGCTATGAGGTTAGCGTATGATGACTTATTATATGAGCATACTCAGAAAAACATTTATGCATATGCATACATTAGCATAAATGCATACACACACACTTATCTAGCAAACATAGCCATTGCATTTGCTTAAAAAGGTAACTTTCAGAGTAAAGCTGTGTAGGGATAAACCAAACATTGATTTCAATTCATACATGCACAAACAGACACAAAGCTAAATGCTAAATGATGTCTCCCACGCAAACAAAGCTATTTGCAAGCCATTTGTCTTGCATTATGACCACATCCACAGGATGTTTAACATTGTCACATTTACATTGATATGTATCTTAAATGCACATTAAATCTGAATCTGTCTTCTGGTCTGCATATACAATTTTTGCCCGAGGACTTATTCATACTGTAATGTGCTGATGCTGTTTCAGTTTCCAGAACTTTGATTTATGAAATGTAATAAATGGAGGCTA